TAGGGAATGTTGTAGAAATGCTTTCATGTTGGGCTTCTCTGATACATTGTGTTGATTAGATAACTTAGTTTGTATGAATTTACTAGTAAGATGTCTAGTGTGGTTGAACATTCATGGTTCATGAAGGTTTTTGCATATTATGAAACCAACGGGTATTGCATTACATATTGCATGAGACTTGATATGTTACCTCATGATATATACATAAGAATGTTGAGAATGTATATGTGTGAAATAATTGAGTGGGAGCTACTGTAGTCCCACGTTTTTTTAGCTCCTTGGATATTCATATATACAGGTGCAAGCTATCTCACAGATCCAGATGATGCGAAGTCAACATCTGGATATGTGTTCATGCTTGGAGGGGGTGCAGTTTCTTGAAAAACAAAGAAACAGAATGTGACGAAATTGTCCACCATGAAGGTAGAGTACATGGCATGTTGTTTGGTGATCGATGAGGCCGTATAGATTAAGAAATTTCTTAATCGACTTAACTTTCACCTCATGCACTGTGAGGCAGTAAGAATTTCTACGACAGCACGTTGATGATATGCGTGTTAAAGGAGTCACGATTCTATAAAAACTCTAAGCATATAAAATCATGTTTTTATTACTTGAGGAATGAGGTGAGATTGAGAAAGATCGAGATCCAGATAAACTAAATATTCCAGTGGGAGCACCTGCTAGTATTTGACATGTCAAATGGAACAACAGACTATAATGTTGTTCACCCATGGAACTCAAACGGTTGGTGCTGGTTATATGACTACAAAAGGGAGCAGCTTATTTGAAGAACTCTTTTGAGCCCATGAATATACGATCCCATGCGATAAGGGTATGTGATGGTCTTTTGCGACAACATGTCTATGATTCGCGATGTGATGTGAAAGATGAGCTACGACCATTTTTGGGATGAGATCTGAGCAACAAAGAGAAAAATATATTGCTTCTATAAATCTTTTTGTGAAATGATTGATGGCGAAAGTCATAATTAATGTATTGAGAGAATAAGTAAAAATGCTTGAGAGAGATTGTAATTGGGAGAGAGAGATAGAAATGAGAGGAAGTGAGAAAGAGAGAATGTAAGGCCAAGTGGGAGATGTTGGGTTTATGTGGCCTTTAAAGGCCTTATGAGTGCTTGTAAAATGAAATAATATAGTGGAATATAAACTCAATGGGATTGTGGTCCCTCGTAGACCATACTAAGCAAACGATGGTTTGCTGATACTGATGTGTGCTTAATGATCTATGTCAGTTGGTTGGAAAAAACCCATGTTACCTGGGCATGAAGAAAAAACCGATGAGGGTTTATGGGTTAGCCCTTGATGAGGTCGGAGAACATTCCTGGATGAGTGAGCCGAGGGACTGTGTGACCCTTGTGTGTGATGGTGGCCTACAGAGACAATGGCCAAAACCTCATCCATATACCATCACATGGCATGCATATCGATAGATCATTCGGGAAAGCCAAAAATCTATCTTTTAGGGTGAAGCGTATGCATGTGCGAGAGATACCCTCATGCGCCATAGAGCTCTGGTCGCATAAGGTTTTGGTGACCTTGACTTGTCTCTAGGGGAGACCATGAAATCCACAGATTGAGATTGCAATCCCTTGGCTCATCGGTTTAACTTTGGTGACTCGCTAATGAGCCACTGCTTGGACTACGGGTCATGGGAAACACTGGGTCGGTATGATAAAGCAAGTGTAGTTTGTAGTCCACAGTTGAAGGTGGAGTGCCCCATAATTGTTGATTCCTAAACCATATGGATCATTTTCCTATCAAATTAATTTAATTGTATTTGTGTGATGATAGAAATTATTTTAATATTATTATTTGAATTTTAATGAATCTCCGGATATTTTATTTATAATTTTTAGATTTATAAAATTAAAGATATTGATTTTACAATTGTTTAAATATAAAAATAATATTCTAATTTTTTTTATTATTTTTAAATATATAAAATATCATGAGGGGCCATTGTGCACATGGGCCTGCCATATTTTTAGAAGGTGTGGCCCATGAGTGCCTCCCTTGGGTGGCACACCCCACCCTTATTCTCGTTCCTATTTTTTGGTGATATGGCATGTAGCCATATGGTTGATTCCTAAATATTTTTTATATATCTTTGAAAGATTTTGTGGAAAGATTGAGTAGACTTGTGCTATTTTATGGTATGCACAATATTTTAATTAGACTTAATTTATTTAATTTCCATTAATGGAAAAATGGTTTAGGAAAGGGGGATAATGGTTTATGCATCTTCCATAATGTTGATGACCCATCTATGGAATGGATGGCTCAGATCTCTCTCCCCACAAGTCACCCTTGATCGATAGTCTATGTTCAATCTCACAAGAAGAGGCAAGCCAAAGAAAACCTTAAAAAACCCTAATCTTGTTCAAAGCTTATAAAAGGAATTGTCTCTACCCAAAATCTCTACACCTTATCTTTTTATCTCTCTCTCTTAAGAAAGTTTATCTCTCTCATGTTTGATCTCTCTCTACTACATTGTGAAAGAACCTAAAGGTTTAGATTATAGAGTTCTTCTCTCCTATCTTTCAAATATGGATTTATGGCTAAGGGTTTTAGGGTGTAGCAAAAAGATAATCCATCTCTCTCAAACTAGGTTGCTAAGAGAATTCACTTATGATTTGAGTTTGTAATCAAATGAGTTCATGTTCCATTGGTGTGGATTGGCCGAAATTTGCTTTCTCGGTTCAAGATTAAAGTAGACCGTTGATCCCGTGCCATCGGATGATGGTGACTCGGTGTGGAGTGTAATAAGCCCAATTGAGGTAATCTCCAGTACTATTCTTTTTGTTTCTTGCAATTTTATCTTTTATTCTCAAGCATAGTGCATACTTATTTCAATGGCATCAAGTTGTTAAGATCTTGGTTTTATTGTTATGTTGATTTTATTTTGAAAATTATCCTATTATAATAAAGACCGCATGTAAGTGATCTTTTGCCAAAAGAAAGAGATGAAGAAAAAAAAAATGTATTCCCCTATAAAAGATCACATAGGTCTTTCTTTCACGTGGGTGATGCCGATAGGAAGAGAGGGTCGAAAAAAAGTTTGCTTAACTGGTTTTGCCCAGATGTTACATGAATAAAAGGGGACCTATTTTTTAAGGTTACTCTCAAGGTTATCTGTCGATACCGTAGTTTAGGTCTCTATAATTATGACAGATAGGTGAGTGATGCCGATAGAAAGAGCGAGTAAAAAAAAGGTTTGCTTGATCGGGTTTGGTCCATGTATAGGACGAGCAGAAGGGACCTATCTTCTAAGAGAATATAGGACAAATGTCCTTAAAAGTTGAGGGTTTTTAAAGGGGTATAAGGCATATTTTATTATTTGAAGTATATCTTTTGGGTTCTCTAATACACTAAAATTAGAGAGGCTAAATAATAGAGAAGTTAAGCTTGAAATTTAAAATGATCTCTCCTTCTCTATCCACACACCAATTTTAGGAAGTGAAATGATCCTCAAATAGATTACTGAGATGTTATAGAAATTGAAACTTATCTCATAGGAATCAACTACATGAATTAGAAAGGCTAAATAATACGGAAGTTCAGCACGAAATTTAAAATAATCTCTCCCTCTCTATCCACACATCAATTTTAGGAACTATTTTTAAGAATGTCAATATAAATAAAGAAAATATCTTCAAATAAATTCACACTTATCTCATAGGAATCAAAATTATATAGAGGAGGAGATATAGTATACCTACTTATGACTTTCCCATTATTTTTCTAGGTTCCAAAAACTAGGAAACTATAGTATACTATTACTATATGGGAAAAGTTTATATAGAGTCGAGACTCTAAGCAATCACAATCGAGCCTACCTCAAAAATTTTACTAGATGAGATTGTTTTGATGTCTAAAAATCCTCAAATTGATCATTTCGACATCAAGATGCATGGACAGGAGAAAAAAAAATTGATTTGAAGTTTTGGAAATAATGTATTTTGTAATGCATTTTTTACCGTTAATTTTTAAGATTTTCAAGTTTTCATAGATCTGTCATCTACACCATTTTTTAAGCTTTAAAATTTATAAATTAAAAGATTAAAATATATTTTAAGGCTATCACAAAGATTTCCAGTGTTGAAACCACATTTCTTGACACTACTTAAAAGGTAGGCTCTAATTTGATTGTTTAGAGCCTAAGCTGTATATGCACCGCACCCTTACTATATTACTGTTTTATTAAACATTACTACCATATGTTCATACATAAATAGCTTGATGTACTCATTTATTAATATGTATTTACATGTGCACGTATAAGATAAGGATGGATTAATAGGCATTTATAGGTGCACATATATATTTAAAAGTTAAAGTATATCTCTTTAGTTATCTAAGCACACTAAAATTTAGAAAGAAAAAGTTCATATAAGGGCGAGGCCCTAAACAATCAAATTAAGGCGCACCTCAAAACTTCACTAGAAATGGTCCCAAAAATCCTCAAATCAATATCTTAGCCTCGAGATGTATGGAAATGAAAAGAACTAGATTTCAAGTCTTGGAAATAGTGCATCTTTTTACGGGCAATTTTCAAGATATGCTCAATGTACACTATCTTTAAGCTTTAAATTTAATAATTAGAGATGAAAATAAATTCTCAAAGCATCACAAAGATTTTCCGTATTGAAACAATATCTTTTGACACCATTTGAAGGCGGACCTTACTTTGATGGTTTAGGGCCTCGGCTTTATACAAACCACGCCCAAATTAGAAGGCTAAATAATAGAGAAATTAAGCTGGAAATTTAAAAGGATCTCTCCATCTCTATCGACGCACCAATTTTATAAAGTGTGAGATTTAGAAAAGGCCAACCTAAATAAAGAAAAAATCCTCAAAACATATCCTTGAGAATTAATTAAATCAAAATAATCTTTGTGCTCATTTTGTTTTTATTTTCTTATATTTTGTAAAGACGTGCTTTTTTTACTAGCTTATATTAAGTTTACTACAGAAGGGTGAGTCGTGCAGAGTTTCGAAATTAAAAGTGAGAAAGAAAGAGAATGGACGGGAAGGTCGTGTGTGTAACTGGTGCTTCAGGCTACATTGCTTCATGGCTCGTCAAGTTCCTTTTACAGAGAGGTTACACCGTTCGAGCCACTGTTCGCGATATCAGTATGCTACTTTCCCTTGCATTTTTCTTTTTATGTCTCCTTTCTTTTTCTTAGTCCATGGATATATCTTTCTTTGAAAGATGAGAGAGACCCGAAGATTATCGTAAATATCTATGTAAACTGCACCCTTTTGCTTCAGCAACTGGTTCAAAAAGATTGGCCAACGTCCATGATATAAAGTACGAATTAACATAATTTCACTGAAATTATAAAATAAATAAATATTTTACTAGAGATTATTCTTTAACCGCATGAAAGCTCTCAGTCTCTGCAGTGGAGAGAGTGAGACTGGCAAAGATGCCGCCCTGTTTTTTACAGGAATCTAGAGAGAGAATGGCTGTAATACCTTAAATCTTTAGTATTCTTTCTCTTATTTAATTTCAATGGAGAAGCTGTTTGGCTGACGCAATTCAATTGGATTATACTATGTTTTTATCTTTCTTTTTTATTGAAAAGCAATTGATTTGAATCCAGAACAAGTTTATATGATCTCTATTGATCTTGTTTTCTAGATCCTTATTCGCTTTTCTTATCCTCTATTACTGCTTGTTATTTTTGTGTAGAACTCGTCTCCATATGTGATCGGGATCTTCTAGAAAAGAATAAATCCTTCATGCTCTTCTTGTTATAAAAGATCAGGACCTCTATGCTCCAGTATAAGCAAGGATATGGCGTAAGAAATATCCCACATTGTAGATGTGGGATGGAGTTGGGGGGCAAAACCTTATAAAATGGGTTAAGGTTGGACCACAAGATGTGTTTTTTAATAAAATATTAAATTTGAAAAAGAAAAGATCATTTTCAAGGAGGTGGGATATATTTTTAAAATAATAAAAAACAATATAAAACATTGGATTGGTAATTAGGCTGATATTTTAAAAAATAATAATAAAAAAAAGCAATATAAAACATTGGATTGATAATTAGGCTGATATTTTAAAAAATAATAATAAAAAAAAGCAATATAAAACATTGGATAGGGAATTATGCTGGTTTTGTTCGATCGATGGTTCTTGACAGAACTGGGTTTGTTAGAGATTGGCGTTTGATTCGAGATAGTTTGTAGGAATTGCATTGGTGTTTTTCTAAACAATGATATAAATCAAATAGTTTATAGGAACTGCATTGGCGTTTTTCTAAACATGGATATAAATCAAATGCCGATCCCAAATAATTGGGATATTTGGGATAAGGCTTTGATGATGATGATGATGATGGTATAAATCAAATAGTTTGATAATCCCTGTTTTATTTATGTTTTCATCTTCTATATTCTTTTGTCGACTTTTTTAAATTATTTTTAACTATCTTTGACCTTTTTTATTTTTTAACATTTCCCATGGTGTGCATTACTCGGGCTAGTGGCAAATTCCTGGCTCGAGGCGATTCTAAAAACATTGGTTTGTGCTGTTAAGGTTATCCAATTTGGATTTCAAATGAATCTCTAATTAACTCAATGGTAGAATAGATGACTTTGAATGAAGGCATTGTTAATTATGCATGATGAAGTTGCAAATAGGAAGAATCTTTGACATAAATGATGGTGGAGGTTATAGTTACATTAATACGATTATGATATTTGAAGTGAAAGAAGCTTTGAGAAAGATGAAGATAGAAAAGGCTTTAGGACTAGATGGTACCCCAATAGAGGTTTGGAAGTGCATGAGGTGATTAACATATGCTGGCTAACCAAGTTGTTCACAAGGTATTAAGAACAAAGAAAATGATAGACAAATGGAGAAAAGTATCGTTGAACCTATTTACAAGAAAAAATGAGACATACATAATTGTACAAATTATTGAGGGATTAAACTTATGAGCCATACTGTGAAGCTGTGGGAGAGAGTGGTTGAACCATGATTAAGACGTGAAACGAGTATATCTGAAAATGAGTTCGGCTTTATACCAGGGAGGTCAATTGTTGAAGGTATTTTCCTACTTAGGCAGCTAATTGAGAAGTTTAGGGTGAAGGGAAAAGACTTCACATGGTTTTTATTGATTTAAGAAAAACATACAATAAAGGTACCTAGATATTTAACTTGGTGGGTATTAGGAAAGAAAGGAACCACTAAGGCTATGTTGACATAGCGAGATATATGTATGAGGGAGCAGCAACCAGTATGCAGATAATTAGTGGAGAAACAAGTGAGTTCTCAGTGACAATTGGCCCACATCGACGGTTAGCGTGGAGCCCATATCTCTTTATTACCATGGTGTATGTTGTTCGCAGAAGACATAATTTAATCGATTAGGCTAGAGGCGGCGTCAATGCAAAGTTAGAACGTTGGAGGGATGCTCTAGAATCTAAATGTTTTAAAATTACTTGGACTAAAATAAAATATATAGAATGCAAGTTTAGCAATACTAGGAGTACAAAATGAGGAAGTTCAGATTGATGGTTAAGAAATACCTAAAAGAGATTGTTTTATATATATAGAGTTGATAATCCATGAGAAAGGATAGATTAAGAAAGATGTCATATATAAATTTAGAGTTGGATAGGCGAATTGGAGATGTGCATCTGGTGTTTTATGTGATCGCCCCTTACTATTGAGACTGAAGGGGAAGTTCTATAGGACGGTTGTACGACTAGACATGCTTTATGGGATGAAATGTTGGGTGACCAAAAAATAACATATTCATAGGATGAGTGTAGTTGAGATGAGGACGCTGAATGGATGAGCAGTAAGACAAGAAATGATAGAATTTGGAATGAATACATACAAAGAAACTTAGGAGGTGTGCCTTTAATAGGCGATAAGATGAGAAAATGTACACTTAGAGGGGTTGGCCATATGTAGCGTATAATTAATATAACGCTGGTTAAGCGATAAGATGAGAAAATGTACACTTAGATGGGTTGGCCATATGTAGCGTATAATTAATACAACACTGGTTAGGAGGTGTGAAATGGTTCAAGTGGAAGATTCTAAAAGGGTAAAGGGAATATGCAAAAGGACGTGGATATAAGTAGTGAGAAAATATACGATAACTTTTAGTCTTACTGGGGTATGACCCTTGATAGAGAAGAATCGAGGAATAGCTGACCCTAAATAATTGGGATAAGGCTTCGATGATGATGATGATGCTGATGATAATGAAGTTGAAAATATATTCTTAGAAATGTTTGATCAAGGTAAAGCTCTTTTTTTCTTTTTTTTTTTTCTTTTTTGTGGCTTAGATTGTTCTTTTAAATTAACCAATTGATGGGGAAAGTTATGTATATTTCTTAAATTTGAGTTCATTTCAAAAATTCATCCACCCGACAGCCTAGGCGACTGGGAGGCCGAAATGCCTAATTGGGGCCTAGGCGGGTGCCCTGGGCATACTTGCTCCTAGGTGCCCACCTAGGTGGCTAAGGTGCCTCCTTAAGGCAACTGCCTAGCGGCGCCTTTGAGCAACTTGGCCGAGCGTGGAAAAAAACCCTTGGTCAAGGAAAAAAACCCTTGGTCAATTACAAAAAAAAAAAAAATTCGTCCCTAGAAAGACGGGAAAAGGGCTTTGGGGGCAAATTTAACCCCCAAAATACATATTTGCCATGTGCCAACCAAACAAAGCGTAAACGCTTTTAAAAAAAATAAAAAATAGTTTAGTCTCTCTGCTCACATGCCGATGTGCTCTCTCTCTACATGTAAGAAAAACTGAAGAGGAGGAAAAAGAAGACGCCCTTCAATCTTTTAGTGCGAGGGCTCTCTCTCTATGAAACACATACATACATACACAAACACACACATGGACCCATATGCTCTCTCTCCATATAAGAAGAGAAAGAAAAAAGTGACCTCCAAATGTTTGATGTTAGCTCCCACCCCTTCACATACTCATATTCTCTCTCTACATATAAAAAGAAAAAAAAAAAGAAGCATGTACTTCAAGTGGTCGATGTGAGACCTCTCTCTCTCACCCACACATGGACCCCCACACACACGGACGTGCACAAACACACACACGCATAGACAAACACGCCCCCCAAAAAAAAGCCCCAAGTTGGGTGGCTAGGAACCTCAAAACGCCTAAGCAGCTGCCTCCGTGTTTTTTAACGATGCGGAGTTCATATTGATGCATGTTTCTCGATAAATTCCTCTATGGGATATCTTTATCTTTTAGAACCTTAAGTTAATTGTCTGTTTATTTCTTTAATGCATAGTTTGGTTTTTGGATAAATTATGCAGTACTTGATCATATTCAACTCCCAAACTAGTACTTGGATGATTCACATTGTATTCATTGCATGGTGCAGCGAATTATTTTCAGTTCTTCATTGACTCTGTCCAGTTTCTTATGTGTGTGCATTGTTCTTTGTTGACTGGTGCTTTGCATGCAATGCTACATAGAAACCCCACTTTCTCTACTGTGTCATGTGTCGACCCCAGTTGCTGACAACTGGACATGTGCCGACACACACAGACATGCCTGAGACATGTGGTTGTACATGCCAGGTCATTTATGCATTATACGTATGAATCGACACTTCTTAAGGAAGTGTCATCTTTAGGGACACATGGTACCTATTAAATTTTTGTATAAAACAGGTCTTTGGCAGCTCCCCAATTCAAACATAAGATATCATGCATAATAGGGTCAGCTCCACCATCCAAGCTGTGTTTCACGAATGAAATATATAGGGAACTTAAAAAAAATGATGAAAAGAAAAAAACTAGGGCTTACTGCCGCATTTTCCATGCAAGGGTGACGTACAAGGGATGAACAATTAAAGATAGTAATGCATTGTACATAAGTATCTAAAAGCACTAGGTTTTCAGCATCTTATACTAGACACCCCAATACGTACTAGATGCTGACACTTGTCGAGGTCCATGTACCACTGCTTGCATGTAATTTTTATACACTAATTTTAATTCTACTGGATTGTAGTCAATATTTTTGTGTTGTGGTATTGCAGATGATTCAAAGAAGACCAAACACTTACTTGAACTCGAAGGTGCCAATGAAAACCTTAAATTGTACAAAGCTGACAACCTGGAAGATGGATCCTTTGATGCAGCAGTGGATGGATGTGATGGTGTTTTCCATACAGCGTCTCCCTTTTATTCATCAATCAAGGACCCTCAGGTTCTTTCTAATTCTAAGTTATCTGCATTTGTTTTCTAATGACATCTTACATTACAAACTTAGTCTAGGCTCTTGAAGTATGCTGGTATGTGACACTAACTTTGGTATCTTTGGGATTAAATTAATTTATTCAAGTTTTCATTGCAATAGATTTAGTTGTCTGCTGGCTCTTAGAATTAGACAGACAGATGACTTTATTTGAAATGTCATTATGTCCTTTTAATGTAGGAGGTTTTGCAAAGTTAATGGCTTTCCTAATTTGAATTTAAAGCACCCATGCCAAGATTGTGTGGACGTGTTTAAAGATTGTATTATTTTGAGTTTCATTGTATTCTGTTTATCTAGAATGGGTTTTGCCTTTACATATGATTGGTTGTTTACAACTCAGTAAGAAACTTACAATTGCTCATTGGTCCCTCTCATAAAACAAATGATTCTTTTCCAATTCTTTCACAATGAAACCCATTTATTCTTCTGTGTCCATGAGGCATTTCTGGAGGTTAAAGTCCCAGACAATATTTGATGTAAATTGCATCAAGGAGCTGACTGGAACAATCATTTTAATTTGGCCCCGGGATGTGTCCGTCAATCTCAAGTTTGGTTTTGGTTTTGGTCACCAGGACGTGATTGTCATTGTCTTTTTTTGTTGGGTCCCAGGATGAGTTTGGTCATTTTGGGATTTGTCAAGGTCTGGGGAATTTGGAGAAGAGATGAGTAATTTGCTGTCTAAAAGTTTCCATGAGTTTAAAAAGTCAAAGATGTGTAGTTTTAATACATGAGAATTGTATTGCATGAATGGAGACTCGTAATATGGGAATTAGGTTGCATGGAAGTTGGTTTAATTGTACAGGGGAATAGGTATAGGGGCAGTTAAGTCATTTATTATTTTTTTAGGGGTATTTTAGTCAATATCTAGCTCCAGCGAATGGGTCTATATATATTGTACATTGCTGTAAGAGTTAGTTGGTTGATAATTTGATAATGGAATCTTCTTCCTCCTCCTCGGTGTAGAGGGAGAGAGAGTTCCCATACTTGTGTATGGAGAGTACCTTGAGTTGGAAGGCCATCCTTGTGTACTGCGAGTACCTTGAGTTTGGCCTTTCTTCCCTTGATCATCATTCCCTTGATCGAGGTCAAAGAAGCCGGGTCATTGTTGCTAAATTGGCCTCGGATCTTTACTTTCCGGTGCCGGTTTTGCACCAATATTGTTAGTTATACAGAAAACTTAGTTACTTCAATTGCCCAAATGGCACTTTCTATTATCCAATCATTCCAACAGGAGTAACAGAACACCATGTGTTTTCTTTGGAGTCAGTTGATTTAAGCTCATGCACCAGTGTGCGCATCTCCAAGCCAGAAATAGAACCATTGGCAGTGCCAAATGGTTGGGTTGGTTGATGTCCTGGAATGCAAAGCTTTATATGTCCACGTTATTCTATGAGTCACTTTTTGTCGTTTCAGATTCCAATTAAAGTTCTTAAATGTTGATGCTTGATAGAAGTATCTCAATGCCATTTTATTGTGCATGGTATTCTTTGTTGTTTCTAGTATACTTTGTTATGGATTGGTTGTATTGGATCTGGTATCTGAGGTGGTGCTTATGTGGATACTTGATAGCAGCACACGATAAAAAACAAATTAGTAATAAATCAAGCTTGCATTCCTGATCTTACTGGATTATACCTTGGTTTGTTTTGCTTACCCAGAAATTATGATTTTTTACTTGCCACTATATTTAAGGTATCATTCTTTGATTGGATTTACCAGACTGAAATGATTGATCCAGCTGTGAAGGGAACTCTTAATGTTCTTGGGTCCTGTTCCAAAACATTATCTGTTAAAAGGGTGATTGTGACGTCCTCCATGGCAGCTGTATTGGTTAATAGAAATCCCCAAAATCCTGATGTTGTTGTTGATGAGACCTGGTTTTCAGATCCAACAGTTTGCAAAGACATAAAGGTTTGTAGTTGTATACAGTTTTTCTTTATAGATTTTTTCCCTTAGTACCATCTACATTCACAAAGAAGGATGCATGAATAATGAGTTCAATTTATTTGCTAGAATTTTGTTTAAAACTTAATATTGGATAGGTATGTTTATGTTGAAAGACTTTTAGTAGTCAATTTCGAAGGACCAATCATATTAATGTCTTGGCTTATCTTGTTGTGCTTTGCAAACCTTGAAATATGATCTGAATGAGATTTTCATGTTATGACATGTGAAATATAGCTGTGCAATGAAATTTGGTAGAGGAATGGTCCAGTAAGTTAAATGCGTATGCTTCTTAATTATGGTGAATGAAGTTGTCCTAGTTGGAAAGATGAGAGTCTAATTAGCCAAAAGGTTACCTAGAGTTTGGCCAGGTCAAGCATCCATATAGGACAATGTAGAGTTTATTGTTAAAAAATTTTATGTAGTGAATTCCTTCTACTAATTTTAAGTGTAAAACCACACTCTGATATATGCTATTAACAACATTACCATTCATGTAACTTTGATGTTGAATGGTACCATTGATGGTGGGACAGTTGGTTACCCTAGTTACATAACAGTTTTCTCAATTTTATTTCGTGCACTTCACAGTTTCTAATGTTTGTTACACCTTCAAAACTTTGTCTTGAGTGAATCCAAATTGTCAGTATGTGTATTCTTACTTTCCTAGGTGTTTCCTGCTCAATCAAGAGCAAATGCATAAGAATGTTAATGATGAAAACAAAACCAATGAAAGTAATGAGAGAAGAGGGAACTTGCATGAATATTGGTTTGCTCAAGTGGCCGTATTCCTCTGGGAGGGAGATCCCACTCAATATTTTAGGTTGCTTGCAAATTTTTTAGAATGGTGATATTTACCACGTATTTATCATGAAGAATGGAGTGATATGATTTCTAACTGCAACGCAAGGAAAAGAACACTTGTTGTAGTTGCCCCAAAATTTTTATAAGAATGGCTTTTACAGAAATACCCTTCTCACTAATTATGTTCATATGATTTTGACTAATTATGGGAAGGGACTCGCATGGTTTTCCAACTGCAATATACATAAGAATGGGGCTTCCATCTCCCTGAATATAAGTAAAAATGGGCCTGTTCCATCCCCCCCCCCCCCTCTCTCTCTCTCTCTCTCTCTAAATTGCATTTTAGCTTTCAATGTGGTCTCTGTTTTCTGCAGGCATCCCTATTGTCAAATATCATGCTTTTCTCAATGATATTTGTAATAGTTTGTGTTTGTTGGATTATTTTTTTAAAGTGCTTCTTTTGTTCTGGCAGAGCTGGTATGTCCTATCAAAAACCTTGGCTGAGAAAGCTGCATGGGATTTTGCAAAGGAGAAGGGGATTGACTTAGTGACAATAAATCCGGCAATGGTGATCGGTCCCCTTCTACAACCAACTTTGAACACAAGTTGTGCTGCTATTCTAAATCTTGTAAACGGTAAGCACAACACTTAGCAGTGAATCTTTTATGTCCAAGATTGGATAGTGTTTTAGATTGCGTTTCTCTTACTATGCATGGTCGGCCTCTGCCTCTGCCTATGATGGTGAAGGGCGGGCATTGGACTGAAGTCACAATGGGAAAGAAGTATTTGATTATTACCTGTATGATTCTTTGTTTAATGATCTATATAATAACAGGAAAGGGAAAAATGTGAAATCTCAAAGCCCATATTCTAACATTCGATCATTTCCTCTCCATTTTTGGTATTGCGTGACAGTGAAATTATTTTATTGAGTCACATTTTCAAGAGAAGTGTTGCACAACATGAAGCATTTTACTCATGAAATGAAAAAGCATAAAGCATTTTGCATTGAGGTGAGGAAAGTACAAAGGCTTGACAGTGAGGCATGAGCTTTATGGTTAATCAGAAGGGTCCAGTAAATAGTAAGAAAATGTGAAGAAAAAGATGTAGGAGAGATTTTGTTTTGCTTCTCGATATAAATGCAAGGCAGGGTATTGTAATGATTTAACAATCCGTTTTGTCAGAAAGAGCCATCAAATTGATTGAGCAGCTATTGGTGGCCTTTAGTAAGCCTTGGAAGTTAGACATCAAGCTACATAGGTCTGTCTCCTAATTGCTGGGTTTGGGGGTTGTCTTTAGCTGTCATTGATACCAAGTTGGAGGCTCATCCATCACCCGATTGGTCGACCTATAGTATACAATATTCTTCTATTTTTATAAAAAGTGACATGCTAAAGTTTCAGCATTAAGGATCAAATGTGCTGTCCACATATTAGTCTGTAAGATTGCAAGAGTTCTTTTCTAAGCAATACTTAGCCTTCAGCTTGACAATTTTCTAGTTTTAGTGACTGAGGTCAAGGGTTCAAACGCTTGAACTTTGTCACAAGAAGTCCAAAAAAGCTGACGTCCCTGTGGGGTTTAGTCTTGCAATGGTTAAGGTGTTGACAATTGCCATAAAATCTATCAAGTTTTCTTGTTGCTGAACTACAAAAATAAAAAAAAAGAAAGGAGGGACTATGCTTTTCTGTTCAGTAAAAACAAGAAATATATTCTAAGAAACCCTTGCATGAACTTGGGACACTGGAGAGGGGTGCAACAAGTAATTTGGAAATGAATTTTATGTTTAAAGCTATGCTACCTAGACACCGACACAAGTATCTTGTCCTAGGGGTGTCAAAATTGTCTAGTCTATTGCTTGAAAAGCCAAAACGACAAGACATGATAATTTCCTATTTATATATATATATATATTTATATGGAAAACACTACAAAACGCCTATAGGTGAAGTTCTACAGTACTTCACCTACCGCTTTATCACCGTTCAAAGTTTATCACGCGGTCACAGATGTTTGATAGTATTTGAATTTTAATATTTTTTTATAAATCATAATGATCTGAAATTTTTTAGATGTGTGCGCTTTAGTGAGATGCACATGAATAAAATATAAAACAAATAATTTGAATGATAAAAATTACGCAAAATACCTCTATAAAGTTTCAGGGGTAATTTCATCATTTTATTTTATGTCTATTATTTTTTTAATATTTTATTTTAGTGTGAATTGGTCATATGTACGTACGTCTCAAATTTTAGATAATCTGATTAGTACAATAATTATAAAAATTTAAATACTGCTGCACAATTGTGATCGTGTGATGAACTTTGGATGGTGATGAGGTGTAAGTGAAGTACTGGAGAACTTCATCTATATGCGTTTTGTAGATGCTTCCTATATATATATCGTCATCATCATCATCATAGCCCTTTCCCAATTAATTGGGGTCAGCTACACGAATGATGATTCGTCATTCTGCTTTATTAAAGGTCATACCCTCAGTGAGGCTATAAGTTCTCATATCTTTTCAGACTACCTGCAAGCACATCCTTTTGGCCCTACCCTTTGCTTTTTTCAGTCCTTCTACTCTAACTAACTCGCACCTCCTAATAGGTATTATACTTGGTCGGTACCACGCATGGTCAACCGACCTAAGTCTACTCTCTCTCATCTAGATGTATGTATGTATATTTATGTAAGAGAGAGAGTTCACATGTATTACACTTAATGTTGTTGGTGCAGCAGTGACCACATGAACTTAGCACAAGATCCCTTGGGTCCAAACGCCAGCCCTGTGGTCTAAATACATTTTTAAATGCCCTGTGGTCTAAATACATTTTTAAATGCTCCTAGTGCTGGAAGTGTTGAGCACATGATGCGGCAGCAAAAATGTGGGGTCTGGGTAACATAATGTTAAAGCAATATAGTTAAGTCACAAGCAACACTGAGTAGACATGCATCATAGCAGAATGTAAAATTTCAATGAATTAGTCCGTTCATCTATCAGTACCTCTTATGCTTTTCATCTGTGTTACTGATTATTTGAAATTTTTATTTTCTTTTTCTTTTTTCTGATGCAGGGAGTCCTACATACGTGAGTGCAAATTTTGGATGGGTAAATGTCAAAGACGTTGCAGAGGCCCATATTCTTGCATATGAGGTTCCATCAGCAAGTGGGAGATATTGCATGACTGAAAGAGTGGTGCATTCTTCAGAAATTGTGAAGTTGTTGCATGAGCTGTACCCGGAATATCCAGTCCCTCAAAAGTAAGCACTCTCCTACTACAAACCTGACGAGTTTTATATTTTTTGTCAGGGGATTCATGTCATTATACAAAGATCCAGACATTGTTTTTAAGCTGGACTTCCTTTATAGCTGCTATGAACCCTGAAGATTGTTCGCATATATGCAAGTGGAAAGTAGATGTGGGTTTCCAATGGAAAAATATAACGCATCCAGCTTGTGCTTAGTATCTGACAGAAAGATTTTCATCTCAAAGTTACAATTTTGGATCAGAATTATTATAGTACTGAGACGTACTCTTTTTCAAACTTACCATTTGCCTCGAGTTTTTTGGGAAGTGGGCTCTCGTTAGCTTGGCAAGCTATATACATTTGCAAATCTTTATTCAGGGTCATGGATGTATCAGTGGCTTTTAGTGGCATTCCTACCTGTTTGTGTCAGTTTTTTGGTAGAAAAGTAATGTTGTTTGCTTCTGATATTGGGTTATGCATGTATCAGTGGCTTTTAGTGGCATGCCTACCTGTTTGTGTCAGTTTTTTGGTAGAAAAATAATGTTGTTTGCTTCTGATATTGCAGGTGTGCAGATGAAAATCGTCCAACATTTAAGGTGTCAAAGGAGAAAGCACAGAAGTTGGGAGTCAACTTTATTCCTTTAGAGGTCAGCCTCAAGGAGACAGTGGAGAGCCTAAAGGAGAAGAAATTTTTCTAAGCTGAAAAGTTGAAAGGCATCATATAAGTGTTGAATAATGGTTCTTGTCATTTTCCTGAGTTTTTCTCTTTTCCTTATTCCTTGGTGTTTAAACCAAGGAGATGGTTCTCAAAATTGTATGTCAAGAACATCATATATACATTACAATAAATTGATTCAGACAAATATATGATCTTTGGCTTGACCAAGATGTTTGAAACTATCATGCCAGCGGCCTGGATACTCTTAGGTAACTGCAAGTTACAGTACTTGATATCTTGAAAGTTGCATGCAGTTAAGTACTCACCGACATATATTGTAATCTCTTGCTATTATGACAATTGGGTTTTAGGGGTTTCTGAAACGAATAATTGGTTTCCTCTTGCTGGGTATTTTACTGTTTCCTTGGATTCATCCTTTCCCTAGGACAGTGACATGGAACAATCAACCTTTTAATGCATCCTGGGCAATTGAGCCTGTATTTTTGTCTTGGACCCTATATTCATAAAGTTTCCAATTATTTCAATGCTCCATGCTCCGGCTCAAGATTAGGCCAACTATCGAGTGAGATTACATTTTTCAAACGTCAAAGTTTCCAAGCTGCATAAGTATGTGTATACCTGGTTGATGAAGAGGTTTCGGAAGAAACCAGAGCAATTCACAACAACATCAATACGAGGGCGACCAATCTCTTCAAGGCTAACAGGTTCCACCTTGTCCACCCACCCAAATGTATCAGCCACAGGCCCCACTCCAACCATCCATAGCACTTGGGCTAGTGACTCCCACAGATCTTGATATTATCAGTTCCCCATAGCACCAAATGCAACTCTCTGGGTACTTTCCCTCATTGCCGGCCTTTTGCCTCTCGAGCAACGTATCGATCACTACTTTTGCACTTACTTGGCGCCATTCAACTTCCAAGCCCAAAACAAGTTATTTTGATGCAAACTTCTTCCAAATTTGGACAAGGAATAGGGGTGGCAATGGACCCAACTACGACCACCCCCCCCCCCCCCCCCCGTCAAGCCCCGGGTCCGGGTATGAGCCCAAATTTTGGACTTGAATACTATTGTTACAATATTGTTCATATTGTTACAATATTGACAACATTTACAATATTATTATAATATTGATAACATTTACAATATTATTGCCAAAAAAAAAGAAACTCATAGTCATTGGGTATATAATGGTAATAAAAACCAAAAAAAAAAACTCATAGTCATAGGGTGGCAATGGATCCAACCAGACCTAGGACCCAACAGGTCCGGGTACATGTCCAAAATTTGGACTAGAATACTATTCGGGTTTGGATCCAGGTTCAGCCGTATCTGACCCATTGCCAATCCTAATCAAGAACAAGGCAAGAGAAATTGGGTCATTTGCGGCATGTAACTCTGAGTGGAGTAAATTATAAAAATGCCCTCACTTGTTTAAAGTTCTAATGAGTTCAGAATAGCATGTGGCCAAGTCCGCACATGTAGAAATATGAGCTTGGCAATAAATATATTTTTTAAATATAATTTTATCTTAATTTTTAGAAAATATATAATATTTAACATGGAAATCTTGAATATAGATTTTTGTTTTTGAAAACTAGAAATAATAATTATATTAAAAAAATATTTGAACCATTAGTTACAATTATTTTTAGATGGAAAACCTATTTATACATGTTTAAGATGGATAATTTATACCTTCGGACTGAAGAAATGCGGTCCAGCCTGCAATTGTTCATGAGTTTTATCATTAATGAGTTTGGTACACTGGAGGAGCTAAATCAGATGGAAATTATTAAGGGTGCAGTTGGGATACAGATGCAGCCGATGCAGTAGAGGTAAGGTACACCTTCAAATTTTATCATGGTATATAATTTTGATGTAAAATGTTCTTAGGACTATCTCAAAATTCATTTTTATATTTAATTATAAAATTTAAAATTTCAAAAACGGTTAAAATCAAGTAGATCTATAAACATATGAAAGTCTTGAAAATAGACGGTGTAAATAATATATTGTAAAATGCTCTGAGACGTAAAATCTTTTATTTTTGATGGTCATACATCTCGATGTCGAGATGATCAATCACAACATTAAAACTACTTTTCTAATAAATTGTTGAGGTGCATCCGTAGCTCTACATTATAAGGTTGCAATCTTATATAAACTTTTTCCTATTATTAATATTCAAATAAGAAGATTCAAACTTAGTTTTACATAGGTGTTTATTTGTTCACGATAAATCAAATCAAAGAGCCGTGATACCATAACTTATTCGATCTTGACTTTCTAATTCTCTATAGACAATAATAATCGCTATAACAGCCCAAATGCTGAACCCACCCAAAATACTACATAAGTGAAATGATTTTCTCCTCTTGTGGAAGTATACTGTGCATTAGCTCCCGAGAAAATTTTTGGAGTTCCCTTAGGGACATACCTGGAAATATATTCTATGTAAAATATTAGTGGCTTAATACATTACCTACAAATAGATTATATTTGGGTAGTATTTAGATGCAACCTTGGAAATACATGATTATTGTTTGGCAAAGAAATATGGGAAATGCATTATCAACATTTTACCAGCACTTGCCTATAAAGTATTATTTTTTTCTTTTTTTTGTCACAAAATTCCACTGAAATGCGGATTTAAAGTCATCATCAAATCATTCTAAAAATATTTTTTTTAACATCATCACCATTTCAAAAAGATTTTCTAATAATACCATCATCAATTTCTTACTTATTTTGCATGCATTTGGTACTTACATGGATCACATGTTTTCTAACATGATTAGACTTTGGTTTCAACATGATAAGTCATTGGAATAATATGTTTTGAATAACATGTTTTTATTGTAATAAGCTTTATTTTTATTTACTTTTTTATTTTTTATAGAAGTCTTTGAAATGTTATCTATATAATTTCAAATAAGCAATAAATTTATGATACTAAATTAAAAATCTTTATGTGCAAGTTAAAAAATGGTAAGAAGTTTGATTAGTAAACTAGAATGTTTGATAATTGCACTAGAAAATTTTGAGGTATTGGAGAATTTTAATAAGTAAACTAGAAGGTTTGGTAGTTGCGAAACTAAAGATCTATCTTATTGCAATTGAGCTTTTACTAAGTCTTATGAGTATTATGTTAGGTGAAATTTTTTATTATAATCGTGTTGTGTAATTCTTATGTTGGGTAAAAAATTTTATTATAATTGTGGTATGTAATTTCTCATTGATTATATATAATAAAGAAAATGGATATGCTAAGGAGTGAAGGAGAATGGAAAAAGTACAGATGACAGAGTAAGATGAGAGGACGGGGCCTAAAGATAAATGGGGCTTGAAAAAAAAGAAAAAAGATATATGAGAAGGAAAAGGAGAACCTTATACAAACCAATTATTAGGGTTCAAGAGAGAGGGGATGGGTTTAAAGAGGGATGGAGGAGCTATGCAAACCTAGGTTGTTACTCATTTTATTAAGCTGAGATAGCGCAGAGTGATGCCCGCGAAATGTTTCTAAAGACTAGCCATCAATGGTGTAATAGATTTTTTATCTTTCACCGAGAGTAATGTATTTTTTTATTTTTGGGTAACTCTTCCTATTTCCTTACTATAAAGTCTACCCAAACTTTGGAAATGTCATATTTCCTTGTAATTGATTATTATGTAATAGATTTCTGGATACCTATCTCTTGAGCCTAACAATAACTATAGCAAAAGAAAATTCACATCGCACTCGCTACGTGAGTTCAAAAATAATGTATCAAGATTGAAGCAGCACCATCCAGCTTTTGAAACAGTAAAATATAAGTGTTGTAAAACTATAAAAAAAAAAAAAAAAAAATCACCCTCAAAGAAAAAAGTTTATATAAGGTGTTAGGTGCACATAAAAAATTCATTAGCAAATGTGTTGCTGAAAAGCCCTCCAATTGATCATCTCAACCTTGAGATATATGGATGTAAAAGAGAAAAAGATTTGAAGTCCTAAAAATAATTCATCTTGTAATATATTATTTAAAGTGCTCATTTCCAAGATTTTCAAGTATTAATAGATATGCTAAATCTAAACTATATTTGAAATTTGAAATTTTATAATTAGATATAAAAATAGATTTTCATACCATTACAAATATTTCGGACACTAAAATAATGTCTTTAGGTACACCTTGTTTTGATTGTTTATAGCGTCAATCTTATACAGACCTCACCCTTTTCCAAATAATCATCTTGTGATTCTCAAAGGACCTCCAAAATTTCGGATAAAAGGATATCCCAAGCAACTCCTTTTACCTTATGGGAAAAGTTTATATAAGGTTGCAACCTTACCTCTACAGCAATGCGTCTCAAAAATCCATCGGAAAAGATAGTTTTAATGTTGAAATACCCTTTGATTGATTATCTCGACATCAAGATTTATGACAATAAAAAATAAATAAAAAAGGATTTTAAGTCTCAGAAATAATGCATTTTACAACATATAATCTGCACCGTCCATTTTTAATATTTTCATATGTTTATAGATCTACTTGATTGTAATTGTTTCTTAAA